TTCATCAGGGGGAAAAAGTGGAAGGTCTTGGACTGGCCAAGTCAGTCACCAGACCTTAACCCAATAGAGCATGCGTTTTCCCTCCTGAAGAGGGGACTGAAGGGAGAAGCCCCCAGAAACAAACAAGAACTGAAAAAGGCCGCAGTAAAGGCCTGGAACAGCATTTCAAATGAAGAATGCAACAGCCTGGTGAAGTCAATGGGTCGCAGGCTCGATGCAGTTATTGCAAGTAAGGGTTACGCCACCAAATATTAAATGTTATTCACTTTAATTTATGTAAATAATGTCTGTTCCAATACTTTTGCTCACTTGAAATGTGGGTGGGTTCAAAGAAAAGGGGCTCAGTCCTGAGTTGTTTAATACACCTGGATGTCAATACCATGAAATAAAAGCTGGAATTCTGAACTTTTGTCTCATATTCATCTTTTGATCTGAAACCCAAATGTCTTCAGTCACAACAGTCACAACAAAAACAAAGGAATTGCCCTTGCCGTTCCAATACTTTTGGAGGGGACTGTATGTAGTGAATGGCAACAATCCAAAGCTTTTAGCTTCTGAGCCACTGTCAGAAAACCTGTCGAGGCTCAAATCCAGGAAAAGCAATTCAAGTTGTTTCTCCAATGGAAGAGAATCAACAAGAAAATATCCAATCAGCTGATAACCACAGAACCAAAAATACTTCTTACAAGCAGAAAGTTCCTCATCAACATTTGTCAATAGATAATTGCAAAAACAAAGCCTGGTCTAAGGGGCCTCAATTTATGGGTCAGGGTCCATCGTATTAATGGTCTATTCTAAAATCAATAGGTAAAAAAAAATCTTAAAAACATTGCTACCAAAATCTACCTTATAAAATGGCCACTTGGCATGTACCGGTATTGTAATAGTCCATCCATCCATCCATTTTCAGCCGCTTATCCGTTACCGGGTCGCGGGGTCAGCAGTCGCCACCCAAATCACATTGCACCATACCAACCCCCCAAACCTTCCTGCGGGTGGTGAGTCCACTGGAAGGTAACAACTGCCCTAACTGGGATTCAAACTTGCCCAGAATTACAATGGGGGTTCCACACCAATGACAGAGACATTGCCTCTGGGCCAAAGCGCCACGGTATTGTAATAGTTCAACTGAAAAGCTGTTAATGAACTGAATGATTTATATCTGTGGTTGGAAATGTCCTGGAGATGGTTTCTGGAGATGGCATTATTTTATCAGTGCTTCTTGTCCACAAACAGCACACAAACAGGACAAAAGTGACTGATGTTGCTCTGTGGTTAACACTTCCCACAGAATCGGGTCGAGGAACAGCACATGTACAGTGTCACATTACTGAGAGTGATGCCAGTCTGCTGAGGCCAGGTATAAATGCCGTGATATGACGTACTGCTGCACCCGCTTATTTATTATCACCTCCCAAAATAGAAATAAAAATGGAGAAGACGGCTAATCAAAAGTGACAGCGTAGCCCAGATTTATGAGATCCTGTTTCACAACACCAGCCTCAAGGGTTTTTATCAATGCAACTGTTCCTCCACCTCACATTCTTCTTGTTTTGAGAGTTAGAAATCCAAATGCACCTAAAATAGAACATATGCCCTATATTTGTTGCCACGTTCCTCCGTTCATTCTGCTGTGACTGCTCTTAAAAGCTTTAAAATGGCAGTAAAACAACCAAGTGGAAAAACATCAGCATTGTTGTAGACTCTACAGACATCAGCTGTTGTTTATACTCTACAATGTAGAGTATGAACAACAGCTGATGTCTGGAACTCAAGAGACTCTAAATGTCCGTGCTATTGTGTGATTTAAATAAACACACTGGCAACTGTTCTACTCGCTGCGGGCTGCATTAGTCAGTGGGAACAGAGATGAGTTATTCTGCAGCGCTGCATGTGAGCTTTGCATTGTAAATACAGCACATACAGCAGACAGAATGAGCTAAATGTGTGATTAGGAAGATGAATCACATTCAGAGGATATTTATGGTGTTTTAGTCACTGACCTCTTGTAGAAGTAGCCCAGTGTGATGCCAACTCCAAGAATGATGATGACCGCCATTATGAGTATGCCAAACACATAGCCTGAATAAAATTTAAAAAAAAAGTTTGTTAAGAATATTAATGCAAATCCTTAGTCAACTCTTACAGGACGGGGAAGTTATTGTACTACTGACAGTAGCCGCTGGCAATTCCTGCAGAATTGCAACATACCCAGTGTGCCAAGGTCCTTTTTCTTTTTGGATCCTGTTTGCACTCGTTGGCTGATTCCCACCACAGGCCGCAATGCAGCAACCTCTCCCTGAGACCCTCCTAACTGGGCTGGTTGGAAACTCTCTGTCAAAGGACCGGCTACTGATGGATTGAGGGCTTCGGCTTCTGCAGGCACAGCAGAGGCTTTTTCCAAAAAAGTAAATAAACACAGCCAGGATGAGAAACCCTTACGTAAAGGTCACTTATATGTATATATTTTTTTTTAACTCTTTAGATCAAGTTCTATTCAGGTAAGAAAAGGTAAGAAAAATCTTTAAGATTTGCAACAAACAGCAAGAATTCAGCAAGATAACAGACACAAAACAACGGTAAACTTGTGTAGTAAACACAGAGTTTCTAACATGTGCATAGGACAAAACTGCTATGAATGCGTGATCTCATCATATCAAAATGGAAACAACTCTCAGCAATTTGGTAAATGTCATTTCTAAGGACCAACTACACAGCAGGTTCCTAATGTAGTGGCCAGAGAGGGTGTATTATGACCAGACTTGGTGTAATATTTCACCAGTCTACTAATACTACAATCATCATATTACAAAGTTTTCATGACCATAATACACCACAGGGACAGAAATGACTGGTCTTATCCTGAAATAAAATATATTTGGAAATACACATCTGTGCAGTACATTTAAGCACCAGCACAGAATGTGGGGGCAGTAAATGAACCACAATTAATCTTCGTTCAAACTTCACAAGAAGTGCATTATTTAAACAGCATGGACTGACAGAGAGGCAGCAGCCACAGGATAAAAGCCATGACGCTGCTTGTTCAGTCACGGTACCGTAAATCAGTTGAGGTCAGTTCAAGTCTGGTTGAATGTTTGTATTCAGATGACTTTTTTTTACAGAGACAGGATGGTTCACTGCATTCTTTAACTTTTTTTTCTCACTTCCTTTATACAGGTTGTTGTTCACACAACTGCTGGTGTTAGCTGACATTATAACATCCAGCAGCCAATCATCGCTGTCTCTATGGGGAAGACTGCTGCTCTTTGCCAATGAGCTCTTCAGGGTGTGGTCAACATCTTTTCAGAGAGCCAACTTTCTGACATGTGACTGCAGGGTTTTGTTGTTGTCAGACTTGCGGTGGTTTAAAGAGAAAAACTCACGTCTGAGTAAACAAGACGTCCCTGAGACATTTAACTCAGCAAAGAATAGGATTCTTAAATGAAATTTTCAGTTGTTTTTTTCTTGTTGCCTCGTACAAAGTTTAAGTGTGGTCAAAACAATGAGGAAAGATGCTTTAAACTTTTTAATTGGACTGTTTAAAGTTGAAACTTGGCAGCATTCTGTCATCTGTCCCTATTTGTGCAAGTTTAATTAGGTCATTTGAATGCCTATGAAAGTATAAACCACTTCTGTACTCATGAAAAAACAGACTATTTCAGCATCCACAAACAAGGTCTGAAAACAGGACCAAATCCGATTATTATTCTCTCCATAATTTAGAATAGAATAGTCTTAATTGACATTGTAACACGGGGGTACAACAAAAGTGAGGAGCAGGGGTGCCCAACATGTAGGTTGTGACCTGCCAGTAGCCCAACTTATAATGTAGGGGTGTCAAATTAACGCGTTAATTGCTATTAATTAATTACAGACACATTTAGCGCAATATGTTTTTTAATTGCGTTAGGCCGATAAACATAGTGGAAGACGACTGGTTAACAGGTGTTGCGAACCGCAATGACCCATCATACAAGCCACCATGCAGGACTAGTGGCGACCAAAATCAGCAAGATGTCACGTGCGGGTATCGTAGGAAGCATTGCAGGAAGCAGGCAGGACCAAAATGCAGTACTGGTGAGACTCTTTCTGGTGCAGGGCAAGGCCAAAACAACAAAAAAACTCACTTCTTCACAAGACCAGGAACAAGGCATAAACAAGACAAGGAATAAACTACTAAGTACAAACTAAGAACTCGAAGGACACACTAAGCTGAGCACAGGAACAGATACAATGATCCAACACAATCACAATGATCCAACCACGACAGAGTGAGGGAGAGGGGTATAAATACACAGGGAGCACCAGGTGTCAAGTGAAGCTAATTACCAACAGGCGAGTGTGATCCCACAGATAACCCCACAAAGACAACAGGAAAAGAAAACAGACAGACATGACAGTACCCCCCTCCTAATGGACGTCCCCCGGACGTCCAAAAGCCTACCACCAACCCTCTGGGTTGGGTGGGAGGGATACCAAAACAGATAAACTGAAACAAGGCCTATTCAAAAACATAAAAACAAAAATAGGCACAAGGGGAGAAACGGAAGAAGAGGGAAAAAAAAGAATTTCCAGGCCCAAGTAACCTTATACTTGGCCTGGCCCTTTTTTGTACCTTGGTCTGGGGAACTTGTGTCTCTGGTAAGGAGTCTCTTCCCTAGACCAAGGCATACCAATAGTCACAAAGTCTCCCCCAGCCGGACCAAGAACTGCTGAGGGAGCATCAGTCACTGAAACAGAAACCTCCAAGGGTGCAACGTCCCCAAGCACCCTCGGAACCACTGGAGATGTAACCACCGTCGTCCTCCGAACCACGGGGGGTGTGGCCACCGTTGCCTCCGGAACCACTGGGGGTGTGACCACCCTCGTCCCCC